TTCAATTTTACGATTTTTAAATATTTCGATTTTTCAATTTTTGACTTTTATAAACTCTTTATTTGTCGATTTTTCAATTAATTGATTTTTCAGGTTTTTTGGTTTTTCAATTTTTCTATTTTTTCAGGTTTCGGTTTTTCAACTTCACTTTTTTGATTTTTCGATTTCTCAATTTTTTAATTTCTCAGTTTTTGGACATTTCAGTTTTGGGATTTTTCAGTTTACAATACTTATTATTCAATTTTTCGATCGTACGATTTTGCAGGTTTTGATTTTCCAATTTTTCGATTTTTTTAAGGTTTCGATATTTCGACTTCACTTTTTTGATTCTCAGTTTTTCGATTCTTTAGATTCTCAGTTTTTGGATATTTCAGTTTTGGGATTTTTCAATATTCCTGTTCATCGACTTTTCCATTTTTGACTTCTGAATTTTTCGATGTGTCGAGTCGACTTTTTACTTTTTCGATTTTTAAATTTTAGACCTCAATTTTTTGGTATTTTAATTTTTCAATATTTAATATTTTCGATTTTTCGATTTCTCGATTTTTCATTTCAGCTCTTCCATATTTCAATTTTTCAAATGTTTCGATTTCTTAATCTTTCGATTTTTCGATTTCCCGGTTTTAGATTTTCTGTTTTTCAATTGTCGTTTTTTCAATTCTTCGATTTTTAAATTTTAGATTATTCAGTTTTTTGATATTTTAATTTTTCAATATTTAAAATTTTAGATTTTTTCGATTTCTCGATTTTTCATTTCAGTTCTTCGATATTTCAGTTTTTCAAGTTTTCGAATTTTTCAAATGTTTTGATTTCTTAATTTATTGATTTTTCGACTTCACGGTTTTAGATTTTCTGTTTTTCAATTGTCGTTTTTCAAATTTTCAATTTTTCAAATTTGACATTTATAAACTGTCAGTTTTTGGATTTTTCAATTAATCGATGTTTTGATTTTCCCAGTTCTTGACTTTTCCAGGGTTTCGATATTCCTGTTCTTCAATTCTTTAATTTTTTGATTTTTGATTTTTTAGTTTTTTTAAGGTTTCGATTTTTCGACTTCGCTTTTTGGATTTTTCGATTGCTCAGTTTTTTGACTTTTTAGGTTCTCAGTTTTTGGATATTTCAGTTTTGGGATTTTTCAATATTTCGATTCTTCGACTTTTCGATTTTTTGCTTCTGGAGTTTTCGATGTGTCGATTTTTTTACTTTTTCGATTTTTCAATTTTTCGATTGCTTAATCTTTCGATTTTTCGACTTCCCGGTTTTAGATTTTCTGTTTTCAATTGTCGTTTTAAATTTTTCGATATTTTAATGTTTTCATTTCCCGATTTAGTTTCCCATTTTTAGTTTTTCTTCCATTTTTCAGTTTTTAGATATTTCACTTTTGGTATTTTTCAATATTTCGATTCTTCGACTTTTCGATTTTTGATTCCTGGATTTTTCGATGTGTCGATTTTTTTATTTTTAAAATTTTAGATTTTTCGATTTCTCGATTTTTCATTTCAGTTCTTCAATATTTCAATTTTATTCAAGTTTTCGAATTTTTCAAATGTCTCGATTTTGATTTTTCGACTTCCCAGTTTTAGATTTTCTGTTTTACAATTGTCATTTTGTCAAATTTTCGATTTTTTATAATGTTTCAAATTTGATTTTTATACTCTCAATTTTTCGATTTTTCAATAAATCGTTTTTGATTTTCCCATTTCTTGATCTTCGAGTGTTTCGATTTTCCTGTTCTTCAATTCTTTAATTTTTCAGGTTTTTGATTTTTCAATTTTTCGATTTTTTAAGGTTTCTATTTTTCGACTTCATTTTTTTGATTTTTCCATTTTTCACTTTATAGATATTTCAGTTTTAGGATTTTTCAATATTTCAATTCTTCGGCTTTTCTATTTTTGACTTCTGGATTTTTCAACCTTTTTACTTTTTCGATTTTTCAATTTTTGGAATTTTAAATTTTAGATTTTTCAATCTTTTGGTATTTTAATTTTTCAATATTTCTTAATCTTTCGATTTTTCGACTTCCTGGTTTTAGATGTTTTGTTTTTTCAATTTTTCGATTTGTTAATTTTTCCCGGTTTTAGATTTTCTGTTTTTCAATTGTCGTTTTTTCAATTCTTCGATTTTTAAATTTTAGATTATTCAGTTTTTTGATATTTTAATTTTTCAATATTTAAAATTTTAGATTTTTTCGATTTCTCGATTTTTCATTTCAGTTCTTCGATATTTCAGTTTTTCAAGTTTTCGAATTTTTCAAATGTTTTGATTTCTTAATTTATTGATTTTTCGACTTCACGGTTTTAGATTTTCTGTTTTTCAATTGTCGTTTTTCAAATTTTCAATTTTTCAAATTTGACATTTATAAACTGTCAGTTTTTGGATTTTTCAATTAATCGATGTTTTGATTTTCCCAGTTCTTGACTTTTCCAGGGTTTCGATATTCCTGTTCTTCAATTCTTTAATTTTTTGATTTTTGATTTTTTAGTTTTTTTAAGGTTTCGATTTTTCGACTTCGCTTTTTGGATTTTTCGATTGCTCAGTTTTTTGACTTTTTAGGTTCTCAGTTTTTGGATATTTCAGTTTTGGGATTTTTCAATATTTCGATTCTTCGACTTTTCGATTTTTTGCTTCTGGAGTTTTCGATGTGTCGATTTTTTTACTTTTTCGATTTTTCAATTTTTCGATTGCTTAATCTTTCGATTTTTCGACTTCCCGGTTTTAGATTTTCTGTTTTCAATTGTCGTTTTAAATTTTTCGATATTTTAATGTTTTCATTTCCCGATTTAGTTTCCCATTTTTAGTTTTTCTTCCATTTTTCAGTTTTTAGATATTTCACTTTTGGTATTTTTCAATATTTCGATTCTTCGACTTTTCGATTTTTGATTCCTGGATTTTTCGATGTGTCGATTTTTTTATTTTTAAAATTTTAGATTTTTCGATTTCTCGATTTTTCATTTCAGTTCTTCAATATTTCAATTTTATTCAAGTTTTCGAATTTTTCAAATGTCTCGATTTTGATTTTTCGACTTCCCAGTTTTAGATTTTCTTCCATTTTTCAGTTTTTAGATATTTCACTTTTGGTATTTTTCAATATTTCGATTCTTCGACTTTTCGATTTTTGATTCCTGGATTTTTCGATGTGTCGATTTTTTTATTTTTAAAATTTTAGATTTTTCGATTTCTCGATTTTTCATTTCAGTTCTTCAATATTTCAATTTTATTCAAGTTTTCGAATTTTTCAAATGTCTCGATTTTGATTTTTCGACTTCCCAGTTTTAGATTTTCTGTTTTACAATTGTCATTTTGTCAAATTTTCGATTTTTTATAATGTTTCAAATTTGATTTTTATACTCTCAATTTTTCGATTTTTCAATAAATCGTTTTTGATTTTCCCATTTCTTGATCTTCGAGTGTTTCGATTTTCCTGTTCTTCAATTCTTTAATTTTTCAGGTTTTTGATTTTTCAGTTTTTCGATTTTTTAAGGTTTCTATTTTTCGACTTCATTTTTTTGATTTTTCCATTTTTCACTTTATAGATATTTCAGTTTTAGGATTTTTCAATATTTCAATTCTTCGGCTTTTCTATTTTTGACTTCTGGATTTTTCGACCTTTTTACTTTTTCGATTTTTCAATTTTTGGAATTTTAAATTTTAGATTTTTCAATCTTTTGGTATTTTAATTTTTCAATATTTCTTAATCTTTCGATTTTTCGACTTCCTGGTTTTAGATGTTCTGTTTTTTCAATTTTTCGATTTGTTAATTTTTCATTCCCGATTTATCGAGATTCGATTGTTCAGGTTTTCGATTTATCAGTTTTTCAATTTTTTATTTTGGCCTATTTCGGTTTCTCAGTTTTTCCATTTTTCAATTTTTTCGTTTTTTGATTTTTCCGCTTTTCCAATTTTTCAACTTTTAACTTTTTATTTATCAATTTCTCTATTTTTCGATTTTTCGACTTCATCACTTTTCGATTTCTCGTTCTTTTGATCTTTCAATCTCTCAATTTTTCAATTCTTCGAATTTTTAAGTTTTTTGATTTCTCTATTTGTCGAGATTTGGATTTTTCGATATTTTGATTGTCAATTTCTAAATTTATAAATTGTTCAATTTTTAACTTTTCGATTTTTCGATTTTTCGATTTTGGCCTATTTCGGTTTCTCAATTGTTCGACTTTTCGACTCCACGATTTCTTGATCTTCTGATTTTTCAGTTATTCGATTTTTTAAATTTGGGAGTTTCGATTTCTCGATTTTTCGTTATTCGGTTTTTAAATTTTAGATTTTTGAATTTTACATTTTTTCGATTTTCATTTTTTTTTCACTGTTACTGTCATACCGTGTATCGAAAACAACCACAAAAATTATAACTAAAAACATTTAAAAATTCATACAAAATAGAATACAGTGTTTCCAAAACATTTTCACGAAAAAAATCCATTGGGTTAATACGATTTCAACAATATCCTTAGTTTAAGAGGTTTTGCTGGTATAAAACACAAATAAAGAATTAATTCTTAGTTAAACAAAATATGTAAAATCCAAACCAACCAAATCGCTTCTGAACGCTTAGAGTCGACATTGGCCTGAGCGCGCTCAGGTGACGAGTTGTAGTGAAACAAGTTTTTTTATTGGCATCGACTATTTAAATTTGGCGCTTACAATGTGAATAAGGGTGGTTTTGCAAAATCAGCCTGTATGTCGCATCTAACTATATTTATCTATGGTTGTGGTGTCACTGATTTACACCAAATTAATGACAGGAGTGCCATCCAAAACTTGAACTACAGTCCCAACTCTAATCCATTTTATTTTCGTTATCCTGTCAGTTTATATCGAACAAAGCATAATAAAATAGTAAGTAAGATAACTTCCGATTTTAAATTGGAGAAAGTTCTTTGTTTATTTGTTGTAAAAACTTTCAAGTGACATTTAGTATTAAATTAGTGAATTATTTCAAATTTTGTAGTGATGGTGTTTCGTGCTAATGGGAATCGACAGCTGACATTCACCGCGCATGTTCCATTTTTGACAATCCTGTCCAACGTCGCCATTAAAGTGTTTATCTCCGATTACCTTAATTTAAGTGTTTTTTACTGTAGTGTTTGTCCAACGCTGTAAGTAGACATGTATTCTGTGGTCATTTTGTGCACATACTCTGTCTAAAATAAGTTTTGCACCTCATAACAATCTGTCCGAGTAACTGCCACCGAGACATCCCAATCCAAGTCAACCGGCTTCTTTTAAAATTAGAATAAAACATCAAAACAAACGACATTCCACCTACTATCGGTGAATCCAACTCTTAACAAACAGCGTAAAACCGCCCCATCTGGCAAAAATCCTGTCGTAAAGAATTCGTTAAGGGCTGACCTGAAGGGTGCGTGTGAATGTGAAGGGTCGTATTGTGTCTGCAAACTTTCCGTTACCTGTTTGTTGTCCTTTTGTGTGCATTTCCATCTCTGCTGTGACCAGCACTCGCTCTGTGCTCTACTCAATTTTCATTCAAGGTTTTTTTTTAAGTTGTGTAGGGCGAAAGGAATGTAATTTGTTCGTTTTCTTCACGGAAGCGGAAATTAAGGGCCGAGGATGTTTGTACACCCACCAGTTGAACAGGTAAAGACTATAAAAAGAAGATTGTGTTTGCATTTTGTCAATGTTTCTTTTCTTACCTAACTCCACTTCCTTTGCTCTCCTAACAAAGTTGCAGCTGCGGTGATGGTCCATTGCGCGCAAAAAGCGGGATTTAAAAATTCGGACGTTGTGGTGATTGTGGCGAGTTGGTAAAGTTTGTCTCCTTGCAGCAGTTTCGGATGGACCCAAATATGACGTTGCTGCATTCAACGCCTCCACTACACCCTGTACATCCGAGGAGGAAGAACAATAGGAATGCCTTGCACGGGATGCAAGCTGAGCGGCTTTCGTTGAGCGAAGAAGCTAAATTGGTACAGTTTATTCGTAGTTCAGTGTTGGAAAAATAGTGGTTTTTATATTTTGCATGATCGGTCTGTAGTGCTAAAATTTATTCATAATTGCTTTGTTGTGTCAGACATGCTTCAAACCAATTTCAAAATAGCTTCATTAATAATTTATGAAGCCAGAGTGAGATTTAACAAGGGTACAGTTTTAATAGTTTTGATGAAAATTATGTATGCTGTTTCACTGACATCTGTAGAGGGTGTATTTATTTTATTGCGCGAAAAAGTTCTGAGCAATTTTTGATTCTATCTAGTGTAAATGATGTAATAAATGATAACTGTATATTTTTTGTGAAGTGTACGTGTAATTGTAATTATTGATTTTGGAAGTACATAAATGTAATGTCCTTTTTTGAAAATTTTATAATTGAATATTTTAAAAGCAAAACGTATGTTTTTTTATTTCTATAATTCCTGGACGTACTATATTGATAATGTGCAGCAAATCTGTTCCTTTAAAGCAAAAAAAGATTGCGTGTATGAAAAAAGTTTACGCATTTTCATTTGTTTGTGAATTTAATTGTTTCGTAGTCTGAGAGCCATAAAAAACGCGATCAAAAACAGCCATCGGTTTTTAAAGGTTTGTCTTTGATCTTGTCTGATTATGGTCAGTCAGTTGAAAAAGATCAAAGACATACCCAAAAATCCTCGGCTGTCTTTGATCGTGTTTTTTATTGCTCTTATTTAAAATAAACACTTCAATAAGAAAATAAGTATCATATAAAGTAGAGAACTAGATAAAATATCTAAATTTTATTTTACAAATTTTATGACAAATATGATACATACAAACCTAAATTATATCATACATTAAATTATAAATTACATAAAATATATCTATTCAGGTTAGTTTCTGAAAACTCAGTTCAGTTGGTAGATCAAAAATATTTAATAATAATAATAACCTTAATATTAATGTTTATTTCACAAACAGGACAATATAAATCTGTATTCTAACCAGTAACACTTAAAAGCCAACTAATACCCCGTTCAGTACCATTAATTAACAGTTTATTTATTTATTTATTTTTTTACCGAAATTAGATTACAACATATCTTATTTAAATTTATCCATGAGACTATTTTTCCAATAATTCAAGCTAATAATTTGTAATTTGTTTACGAAATTTTTATGTAGTGAAGAGGTTGAATCGTTGCAGGTAATTTATTTAAAAACTATACCCAACAATAATTATTGATAATAATCTGTGAAAAGTAGTCGGTATTTTATTGATATTTTGGATGTAATGAGAATGACAACTATGTCTTCTTATAAATAATTTTGATTTTGAGATGCATATTTTAGACAAGCACGAAACAAGTGTCCCAGATATGACTCCCCGACCTTGAAAATGGATAGAAATATTCGAATTCTATAAACGTCATTGTTTTTAGCTTAAAGGGGGAACATTAATTTAATTCGTTGATGTTTTTTTCTTTTTTAAAGAATTTTTGGGGCCCGTAAAGAAAAACAATTGACGTGGAAGAAAATTTATAATATCAAAATTAATTTCCCGCCTTTGAGCTAATAGTTCCCACTCTGCTACTTCTGCCGTAAATTTTGTCTTAAATAATTGTTATTATTAGAGTTACACTGCATAAATTAATAAATTCCATTACCTTTTTTAAACATGTTTTAAGTTTCTTGTTGTGAAAAAAAGAGATTACATATATTAAGAAAAAAGGCAAAGTATAAGTACCATCCACCCACCCACCCTATCTCCATTGTGATGATTTCTTTTTATTCGTCTTAAGGCAAGAGGGCGGAGCTTATTTGCAAAATCTGTTTCTTTACAAAAAATTACCATGCGAAACATTTGTTTTATTGTTGACATAGAGGGATTTTTCTAAATTTATACAAGTTTCTTTCAACACCATAATGGCGGTGCGAAGGCGGGGCTTAAATTTTCCTTTTTTCTAGATATATGTAATGATCTTTTCATGTCAAGATGTTTAAAACGTTTACAATGGTAAATTTTTGTTTTGGGAAACATCCATTTTACAATTATGCTCCGCCCCTCGGTCTGACAACGAATGAAAAATTCATCACATTTGAGACAGGGGTGGGTGGGGGGCTTAATTTTTGGCCTCTTTATAGTTTTCTTTCAATAACATGATACTTAAAAACATGTTTCACATGATAGTTTCTTGTAGAGAAATAAGATTTTACAATTAAGCTGCGCCTTTCGGCTCACGACGAATAAAAACAGTTGTCACAAGTGAGAAAGGGGCGGGTGGGCGGGGTTTGTATTATGCTTTCTTTTTTTTAAGATGTGTACACAGTTTTAGTTACCATTTTAAACATGTTTTCAGTTTTTTGTTGGGAAAATAAGACTACGTATATTAAGAAAAACAAAAGTAAAATATAATCCCCACCCACCCGCCCCGTCTCGTTTGTAACAATTTTTTTTTGTTCATCGTGAGCCAACGAGGGCGGAGCTTAATTGCAAAATCCGTATTTTTCTAAAAAAAATCATCTGAGAAATGTTTTTAAATAATTGTATTGTTTAAAGAAAATTATATATGTATTAAGTAAAGAAGAAAGACAAAGATTAAGCCTCACCTATAGCGGCCCGATTTCAGTTGTGATCAATTTTTCATTCTTTATCAGAGTGGGGGGAGGAGCTTAATTTCAAAATTGATATTTCTCTACAAAATTTTACCATATTGAATACGTTTTCAGTATTTTGTAATGAAAAGAAGAACTTGTGTGAAGAAGAAAAGGGCAAAATATAAGCACCGCCCACCCGCTCGATCTCAAATGTGACGTTTTTTTAAATCGTCGTGAGTTGAAGGCGGAGCTTAATTGCAAAATCCTTATTTTTCTACAAAAAATCATCATCTGAAACATGTTTTTACACAATCGTGTTGTTTAAATAAAACTATATGTATTAAGTAAAAAAGAAAGACAAAGATTAAGCCTCACCTATAGCTGCCCCGATCTCAATTGTGATGGATTTTTCATTCGTTTAATCAGAGTAAGGGGAGGAGCTTTATTTCAAAGTCTATATTTCTCTACAAGAATTTACCATTTTAAACATGTTTTAAGTATTTTGCAATGAAAGAAGAACATGTATTAAGAAAAAAAAGCAAAATATAAATATATGCGTCGTCGTTAGTTTGGCTGTTCCTTGAATACATCTTGCCTCATTTAAGTAAAGTTGATATGGCAAGAATAAATAAATAAAGTAATTAAATACTCCTATAAAATTGATTTACCGCTTAGGATTATGATAATGGTAATTTACAGCACTGTCTTCTCCGATCGCTTGCTTCAAAGGAACAAAGGTCCTATGAATTGGATGTGCACGAACACATTTTAGGTTATAATGGTCAACGATGTTCGACTCAGACAAATAACTCAAAATTGTAATTGTATTGTAAATCATCACCATTATAATATATTCCTGAGTAGTTTGAATGCTTCCAATAAGTACTTTTGGAAATAGAAAGCCCGTGTTCACTATTTGGTGGACTCTACTTTACTACTTTACGTTGTAGTTTAAAGATTGCTTTTATTTCCGGAGTTTGTCTCTAGGGTCCTCCGTGTTTTCTCGACGTTTCGCAACACCTAGAGTATGAAAAATAGGTTTCCCGTTTCCGTTTGTCTTTTTTTTTTCTTTCACTGATTTGTATATACATATTGTTATATTATATCTGGTCTTAGTACCCGTAATGATAGAAGTCTGCCTGTCAATATAGTTTTACACCAACCAGTTGTTATTATTATAATTTTTTATTGTAAATGCACACTCGGAAATACAATGATTACCGAGAGGGGGCGTTCAGGTAAACTGAACGACTTCAGTAGTATCTGTAAACTGTCATGTGTGAGTCCAATATGTGTATTATTGTTGTTATTATGTTCTTATTAGTTTCGTGATACGTCTCGCTGTGTACTTTGTTGAGTTTTCTAAGTTTTGTGTGTTTGATAAACATGTTTCGTACACTTCCTAAGAATTGTACTGTGGAAATGGATTGGCTAAAAAATGCCATGTTGCGGCCGAATCGGAGTTTTGGAGATGAAATTTTATCATTGAGAAGAGAAACTGAAGGACCGCGAAAATTTTTAATTAACCAACGTGTTGAGGACAAACCTGTATCGAACTGGCATGATTTAGTTATTGAGCACTGTGATCTAAAAGACGAACTTTACGATTTTAATATGTCAGGGACATCCACGAGCACGCGTAAAAACGACAAAGAAGTCCAGGTTGGAAACATCAAAAAACGAAGGAAAAAACAGAAGAAGAAGCATGAGAGTCCTTGTACTTTGTGTACTAAAGAAACCCCAGCAGCGCCAAGACCGATTCAGTGGCAAATCACCCGAGAGGTCTGGAACTTTTCACAAAAGTTTGAATTATCTTGTCGTGGCAAAATGTGTTTTACTTTATTTATACAGGCTTTTAAAATTTTCAAAGTGTATTTTGTATTTTATATTTTCGAGTTTAATCTTTAAAGATGTCATTTTATATCAAAACAATTTTTTTTTGTAATTATGGATATCAAAAGGAAGCTCGAAAATGTTGCAAAATATAATCGTATTTGAAAACACGAAAAAACTGAGAACTGCAAATTTAGTCACCGTGTACTGTAACTTAAAATTTTGCTCATTTTTTTTCAATATGTTAAAATATAATCACTAAAAATAATTACAAGAGTCCGTCTGTGTAAATAATGGAGAGGAGTATTTTAAATATGACCATTTTTCCATAAAAATGCAAATATTTTGAAAATTCAGTATTTGGTATCGTTTTCCCACGTTTTAGATGGAACATCTGAGATCTGTAATCGTAGGCTTTGGGGGCACTTTTTAACATTCAAATGTGAACATTTCATAGTTGAAGACATAAAGTATAGACAAAGGTGTTCGAATTTTTTTGGAGTAAGATATAATGAAATCGGATTTTAAAAAATATGTAATGTACTAAGGTGAGCTTACCCCTTCAAGCTCAAAACAACTGCGTTTGCAGAATTTAAATATCTCTAGCAGTTTTCAACGTATAAGGTCGTGGAATTTTATCTGGAACAGCTGTATAATGGCAGACTCTTTTTTAACATTACTTGGAACTCCGTTGCCATGTAAAGTGATAATTATTATTGAATTAAAAATTTATCCTGTAATTCTGACATTTAAAATGTATTCGAAGATTGGGTTATATCGTAAATTTTCTGTTACTACATCGAGAAAACATTTTTTTTTTATCTGTCAACAATAAGTGTTACCATCAGTTTAATCATGTTTTATCGCATAGTTTGTTTGTTTCCAATGTGGAATTTTGTATACAAGTAAACCACACCATTAAAAAAATACGGTGATTCAGCTGGCAAGGAATCGTTCATATCGTATACTTAAAATAATTCGTAATCGAGTCATCCTTGTGAAATCGCGTCTATAATAAAGTCAGGTTACAATTCAAACCTTTAATCGCCAGTTGAAGTTGGAACAGACACACAGTTTTACATTTATGTGAGTGATTTTTGCCGTTTAATTTTTAAAGATGTGTTTGTGTTTGTAAAAATAAAAAAACATGTAATTTAAATTTTAACCTTTTCAGGAAATGGCGTCTCTGCCGACCAAAACTCCTGTTTCAGTCCTCCAAGAGTTACTAAGTAGACGAGGTGCAACGCCAAAATACGAATTAGTTCAAATCGAAGGTGCTATCCACGAGCCAATTTTTAGATATCGGGTTTTCATCAATAACGACTTTGTGGCAACGGGAACTGGAAGGTCGAAAAAAGACGCGAAACATGCGGCAGCGAAAAATTTGTTGGACGTTTTGGTGGGGAAACAGAGCCCAGAACAGGCAAACGCTTCGAACGGAACCCCAGGAGCCAACGACATGTAAGTGTGCATATAAACAATAAAAAAAAGTTTGTGTCAATTTTACTGCAAAAAAACAAAAAGAGCGGTGAAACTGTAACTAATAATTCAGTTGTGGTGGGCAAACGCTGAACAGAGGCGAGTTTGTTTTATTGTCATCATGAAATTATTATCTCAACAATCTTTCTAAATACAAGTCGCCGACTGGTTGTTCGACCATTGTTAATTTAAATGACACTAATAACGCCATATAATTTTATTAGTACATAAAAAGAGTGTATTTACACCATACGCCGGAATTCTGGTCGCTTTCGCCTCTTGTTGTTGAACTTTAAGGCCATCAAGACGCTTGTCCGAAAATCACTCTACCTTTTCACCTTTATAGGCTGAAACCCGACGTGGGTAACATTAATTCAGAACCTTCTAAGCGGAATCGACCTTCGTTCTGAGAATAGAAACTACCCCACTTGACCTTAGGTCTCGACACCGTTCACCTTGCGACCTGCGGATTCTATGTGAAGGGTTTTGTAGTCTCGAAATTCGAGAACTGACTTTAATGCGAAAGAGGATTGAGTTGATTAAGAGAAGTTAACGTATATGTACTCATATAGGAGTTACGATCGATAAGCTGATTTCATACTTCTTGTAGCAAAGTAAGGACAGAAATATTTTTCTACGTCGTTTATCGTTTCCCCTTCTATGTAGTTGTACATTTTCAATTCAACTTTGAAAAAGAGCTAGTCGTCTGTCCCATCCGAAAAAATTGTTGACGTCATCTCAAAATTTTGTCGAATAAATCCTCTCTGAAATATGCAAAATATTATGATCTTTGTGATTTATCAATGCAATAATAGTTTTTAAATTACTTTTACAGGGTGACCCAAAAAAATCAATGTGGCAATGTGTTGTATTGATTATATCATACACTCCATTTTCCCGAAAATTTGGGAATATTATTAATAATTTTCATCGTTTCCTCTGTTTTGAGGAGACAATTTGCTGCATGCTTAAGTGTGGCATTCTTTCGAGGTATAAACACAAACAATTGAAGTTAAGCATGTACTGGTAATATATTTTTACTTCAGAGCCGCGGAAAGATCTGTCTAATTAACTGTAGACCAATTTTTTGCGTTTAAAAGAGAAAGTCTTGCAGTCACCTAGTGGTTTTTTAATATAATAAATAAATCTTCGGGGCCTGTTTTGTTTTGTTTTTAAAATACTTTTAAAAAATGTCGAGGATCCGTGGACTTCTTTATTTGGATAGAATTTTACAGAATCTTAGGGGCTCCTAGCGTCTTTTTTTTTAATGTGACGTTTCGTTTTTGATGGAGAAATCAAAATATTGTCAAAACTGAAAAATTGCAAAACCAAGAATTTTAAAAATCTAAACAATTCAAAAATTGAGAAATCGAAAAATCGGAAAATTAAAAAATCGATTAATCGAGAAATTGAGAAATCGAAAAATTTAAATACATGAATCCCAAAACTGAAACGTCGAAAAATTGGCAATTAGAATAATCTAAAAATCAAAAAATCTATAAATCGAAATTGAAAAATTGAAATAACGCGAATTCGAAACATCAAAAGATCGATAAGTGAGTCGAAAAATCGAAAAATTCGAATATCGAAATAGCTAAAGATCGACAAATGGGAAAAATAACAAAAATTGGAAATTGAAATTTAAAAAACCCGATAAATCGAAAAATTGAAAAATCTAAAAATGCGAAGGCAAAAAATCGCAAGACTGAGAAATCGATACAACAAAAAAGTGAAAAATCTCAAATTTAAAAATTGGAAAAATTCATAATTTACAAAATCGAGAAATCAAAACAACAACCAATCGAAAAATGTAGGATTTTAAAATTGGCAAAAAAGAAAGTCGAAAAATCTAAAAATTTCAAAATCGAAATACATACTGAAAAATCCCAAAAGATAAACATTGAAAATTTCAGAAATCGAGTAATTGAGAAATCGAGAAATCGGAAAGATGAAAAATCGAAAAGTCGAAAAATTAAAAAATCCATTAATCGAGAAATTGAGAAATCGAAAAATCGAAAAATTTACAAACGCCAAAAATTGAAACATCGAAAAATTTAAATACATGAATCCCAAAACTGAAACGTTGAAAAATTGGAAAATCGAAAAATCGAAAAGATAAATTATCGAAAAACTGACAAATCCAGAAATCGAAATCGCAAAAATTGAAAAACCAAAATTAAAATCTTGAATAGATGAAAATGTTGAAAAATGTAAGATTGCAAAATTTTGAAAAATCGAGTAAGTAAAAAACCAAAAAAACAAAGTCGAAAAATCTACAAATTTTAAAATCAAAATCTTGAAAAATTAAACGGAGAATTCAAAAAATTGAGTAATTGAAAAATCGGAAAATTCAGAAAGGCCAAAAATTGAAAAATTGAAAAATCGAAAAATTTAAATACATTAATTCCAAAACTGAAACGTCCAAAAATTGGAAATTCGAATAATCGAAAAACCAGAAAATCTAAATCGAAATCGAAAAATTGAAATAACGCGAATTCGAAACATCAAAAGATCGAGAAGTCCAAAAGATAAACATTGAAAATTTCAGAAATCGAAAAATTGAGAAATCGAGAAATCGAAAAGTCGAAAAATTAAAAAATTCATTAATCGAAAAATTGAGAAATCGAAAGATCGAAAAATTTAGAAACGCCAAAAATTGAAAAACTGAACAATCGAAAAATTCAAATACACAAATCCCAAAACTGAAATGTTGAAAAATTGGAAAATCGAAAACATAAATTATCGAAAAACTGAGATATCGAGAAATCGAAATCGCAAAAATTGAAAAATCGAAAAATTTAAATACATAAATTCCAAAACTGAAACGTCGAAAAATTGGAAATTCGAATAATCGAAAAACCAAAAAACCTATAAATCGAAATCGAAAAATTGAAATAACCCGAATTCGAAACATCAAAAGATCGATAAGTCAAGAAGTTGAAAAATCGAAAAATTGAGATATCGAAATAGTTAAGATTGAAAAATGGGAAAAATAAAATTAAAAATTGAAACTTAAAGCACCCAATAAATGAAAAAATTGAAAAATCCAAATATCGGAAAACTGAGAAATCAAAAAATCGAAAGACAGCAATCGAAACAACAAAAAAGTGAAAAATCTCAACTTTAAAAATAGGAAAAATTGAAAATTTACGAAATCGAGAAATCAAAACATCAACCAGTCGAAAAATCAAAAAACTGAAAAATCGAAAAATGTAGAATTCTAAAATTACCAAAATTTGAAAACTCGAATAAGTGAAAAAAAAAACAGAAAGTCGAAAAATCTAAAAATTTAAAAATCGAAATCTTGAAAAATCAAACAGAAAATTAAAAAAATCGAGAAATCGAAAAATTTAAATACACGAATCCCAAAACTGAAACGTCGAAAAATTGGAAATTCGAATAATCTAAAAATCAAAAAATCTATAAATGGAAATCGAAAAATTGAAATAACGCGAATTCGAAACATCAAAAGATTGATAAGTCGAGAAATCGAAAAATGGAAAAATCGAATATCGGAAAACTGAAAAATTAATTCTGAAAAATTGAAAAATCGAAAAATCAGAAGCCAAAAAATCGATAGGCTGAGAAATCGAAACAACAAAAAAGTGAAAAATCTAAAAATTCGAAAAATTGAAAATTTACAAAATCGAGAAATCAAAACAACCAATCGAAAAATCGAAAAATGTAGGATTTTAAAATTGGCAAAAAAGAAAGTCGAAAAATCTAAAAATATAAAAATCGAAATACATACTGAAAAATTCCAAAAGATAAGCATTGAAAATTTCAGAAATCGAGTAATTGAGAAATCGAGAAATCGGAAAGACGAAAAATTGAAAAGTCGAAAAATTAAAAAATCCATTATTCGAGAAATTAAGAAATCGAAAAATTTAGAAACGCCAAAAATTGAGACACTGAACAATCGGAAAATTTAATTACTGTTCGGGTTTCGGTTTTACCTACCAACCGCAACCCTTGTCAACAAGCGTCCCCAACTTTCTCTTCTACCTGCAATGTATCGCTTCCGATTTTAACCACTTTGTACATAGACTCCGAACCGTTAACAACAAGTAAATACAGTGTTACACAGCACATGTTTGTGTTTCATTTATATCAATCTTTTTCGGTACGTATGTATGAGTAACAATCATACATCCAACAATTACACATCCCAAAACTGAAACGTGGAAAAATTGGAAAATAAAAAAGATAAATTATCGAAAAACTGAGATATCGAGAAATCGAAATCGCAAAAATTGAAAAATTTAAATACATAAATTCAAAAACTGAAACGTTGAAAAATTGGAAATTCGAATGATCGAAAAACCAAAAAATCGAGAAATCGAAATCGAAAAATTGAAATAACCCGAATTCGAAACATCAAAAGATCGATAAGTCGAGAAGTCGAAAAATCGAAAAATTGAGATATCGAAACAGCTCAAGATTGAAAAATGGGAAAAATAAAATTAAAAATTGAAACTTAAAAAACCCAATAAATCGAAAAATTGAAAAATCGAAATATCCGAAAACTGAGAAGCCAATAAACCGAAAGACAGAATTCGAAACAACACAAAAGTGAAAAATCTCAAATTTAAAAATTGGAAAAATTGAAAATTTACTAAATCGAGAGATCAAAACATCAACCAATCGAAAAATCAAAAAACTGAAAAATCGAAAAATGTAGAATTTTAAAGTTGCCAAAATATTGAAAAATCGAATAAGTGAAAAATAAAAAAAAAAACAAAGTCGAAAAATCTAAAAATTTAAAAATCGAAATCTTGAAAAATCAAACAGAGAATTCAAAAAATTGAGAAATCGAAAAATCGGAAAATTAAAAAATCGATTAATCGAGAAATTGGGAAATCGAAAAATTCAGAAAGGCCAAAAATTGAAAAATTAAAAAATTTAAATACATAAATTCCAAAACTGAAACGTCGAAAAATGAAATAACTCGAATTCGAAACATCAAAAGATCGAGAAATTGAAAAATCGAAAAATTGAGATATCGAAATAGCTAAAGATTGAAAAATGGGAAAGATAAAATTGAAAATTGAAACTTAAAAAACCCAATAAATCGAAATATCGGAAAATTGAGAAGCCAAAAAATCGAAAGACTGAGAAATCGAAACAACACAAAAATGAAAAATCTCAAATTTAAAAAGCTGAAATATTGAAAATTTACGAAATCCAGAAATCAAAACATCAACCGATCGAAAAATCAAAAAAACTGAAAAATCGAAAAATGTAGGATTTTAAAATTGGACAAATTTTGAAAAATCGAATAAGTAAAAAAGCAGAAAAACAAAGTCGAAAAATCTAAAAATTTTAAAATCGAAATACATACTGAAAAATCCCAAAATTGAAAAATCTCAAAAGATGAAGATTGAAAATTTCGGAAATCGGAAAATTGAAAAATGGAGAAATCGGAAAAACGAAAAATCGAAAAATTAAAAAATCCATTAATCGAGAAATTGAGAAATTAAAAAATCGAAAAATTTAGAAACGCCAAAAATTGAAAAATTTAAATACATAAATCCCAAAACTGAAACGTTGAAAAATTGGAAAATCGAAAAATCGAAAAGATAAATTATCGAAAAACTGATAAATCGAGAAATCGAAATCGCAAAAATTGAAAAATCGCGAAATCGAAAAATCAACAGATCGAGAAGTCGAAAAATCGAAAAATTGAGAAATGGAAGTAACTAAAAATTGAAAAATGGGAAAATTCAAAATTGAAAAATTTTGACTTAAAAAAACCGATAAACCGAAAAAGTGTAAAATCGAAACATCGAAAAACTGAAAAATTAATTCTGAAAAAAATGAAAAACCGGAAAATATAAAAACGAGAAAGCGAAAATTCGAAACAAAACCGTTAAAGTCGAAAATTGAAAAATTAAAATATCGAAAAACTGAAAAATTAATTTTGAAAAATCGAAAAACGAATAGGCAAAAATCGAGAGATTGAAAAATCTGAAAAACCTGAAATTTAAAAATCCGAAATATTCAAAATTTAAGAATTGAGCATTCAAAACATCAACAAATCGAAATATAAAAAAATCGAAAATCGAAAAATGTAAGATTTAAACAGTCGGAATATTTCGAAAAATCGAATAAATAAAAAATCAAAACCACGAAAAGTCGAAAAATCGAAAAGATAAATTATCGAAAAACTGAGAAATCCAGAAATCGAAATCGCAAAAATTGAAAAATCGGGAAATCGAAACATTGAGAAATGGAAGTATGTAATTAAAAATTGAAAAATGAAAAAAATCAAAATTGAAAAATTTTGACTTAAAAAATCGATAAACCGAAAAAGTGTAAAATCGAAACATCGAAAAACTGAAAAATTAATTCTGAAAAAGTGAAAAACCGGAAAATCTAAAAACGAGAGGCGAAAATTCGAAACAAAACCGTTAAGTCGAAAATTGAAAAATTAAATTACGAAAAACTGAAAAATTAATTTTGAAAAAATCGAAAAACGAGAAGGCAAAAAATCGAAAGATTGAGAAATCTAAAAAATCTAATATTAAAAAAATCCGAAATATTGAAAATTTAAAAAACCGACCATTCAAAACATGAACAAATCGAAACATAAAAAAATTGAAAATCGAAAAATGTAAGATTTAAAAAGTCGGAATATTTCGAAAAATCGAATAAGTAAAAAATCAAAACCACGAAAAGTCGAAAAATCGAAAAATTTCAAAGTCCCAAAATTGAAATAGACACAAGATAAATAGAAGATAGTTTTTATATATTCCATTTCGAGGTTTCGTCTTGTTTTATTTTCCTACCCGTGATAAATTTAAATATTCGTTTTTGTTAAAAAATAATGGTTTGTATAGATCTGGCGGTTACTTGTTTAAATTCCATTAATTCACTTTTATCTTAAGAAAAATATTTTTTGACTAGTAAACTAAGCAAACCAAAAAAACATTTTAAGGTTATCGGAAGCATGGTAAATCGTGAATCAAAATTTATCCGTTTTCCGTTTACTACACCTTTAAAAACTGCTGACGTCATTTTGTAATTTTGGCGAATAAATTTTTAAATAATTAGTTAAATTTAAAAAACAACATACTACTGCATGTGATGTGATTTATGAATCCATCGTGAGTTATTACCCTAGAGATGGACATTTTTGAAAAAAAAAAAAAAATCAAAATTGTGTAACATTTTGCAATTTAACTTCGAATGTGCTGAAATCATGGAAAGATTTGTTTATGCCCTCCCAAAAAAATTGATGACATTTCAAGATATTGCCGAATAAATCTAAAAGTATGCGTAATAGTCCATACTTATGGTTTATTAATAAATTTATATTTTATAGAATTGTGACTCAAAAAAATTGATGAATGATGTCACATATTAAATAGCCTATCCCATTTTCTCTAAAAATTGAGCATCAATAATAGTGTTACGTTGAATGGGGATTAAAAATCGGCGTGGGTTAAACTGAACAATTTTATTTCTCAGTAACTCCAATTTACTAGTGCAAGAAAGATCAACGTCAAATTTTATATATATCCATTCCATATCAGGGAATATTTGGACCAGAGGGTAGAAGATTTTACCTTCGTTGACCATGATGGAACCCGTATTTAAGCATTTTCTAAAATTCAGCCCCTAAGGGGGTGAAATATGGAGGCTAAGTTTCTATGGGAAAATATTTCTATTGTATATTTACACTTTTACGTGAAACTTGGTATTAAAAATTTTGTGTTTGTTTTATACTCGCTTGCGAAAAAACATGAGAAATTAAAACTGTGAAAAAAAAAATCTCCGTTTTTTTTCATAGTAGCCTACGACCGGGGCCATGGAAACTCCATAAACACTCTCCACTTCCGGCAGCTCCACCACCGTCCACATGTCAAATTGCACCCAAACTCTTAAATCCTCGCTTCTTTCCAGAACGAATCAAGTAGTTTCCCCCTTCGACGACAAAGTCATGGGCAACCCCATCGGATGGCTGCAGGAGATGTGTATGTCTCGAAGATGGCCGCCCCCATCCTACGAAATGGAACACGAAGAGGGCCTCCCCCACGAACGCCAGTTCACAATAGCTTGCCAGGTACTGAAGTTCAAAGAAGTCGGCACCGGCAAATCGAAAAAGCTAGCGAAGCGAATGGCGGCCCACAAAATGTGGCAGGCGTTGCAAGACATGCCCTTAGAAGGCAACAACCTGCCACAGGGCTATGACGACGACGAAGAGGTAGGTGATGGCATGGCGTTAGTTTATAGTTTTGGTTTTGGTTTTTCGCTTTCTTCTTCAGATGGATGTTGATGTTTGCTTATTGTAAAAGTTAGCGATGGTCGGATATTGCTGAGGTATTTTTACGATCTTTCAGGGCGCGATTGGCGTTTGGGGGCGGGAAGGAAATGTACACAATTGAAATGAAGGTGTCGAGTCGAGGCGTGGTTCAGGCATTACTTAGACAGTTTTCTACTTAGTTATTCTCTTTATTTTCTGAATAAAAAAGAGTTGATTTGAAGTTGTTTTGGTAGGACTCACCCCTGAAGCACAATCAAACAAGTTCCGTTTCTTAGATAGATAGTTCCGAGCATAAGCTAAGGAAGTATGTAATCGGGTCCATCGGACGAATGGTCACTTTTATTTCTATAAATAGTACTGTGTCTCTAGAATTTTGGGTTATCATAGCAAACAAAATTTGTAGAATCAATGTGTATAATTTATGTACGAAACTGAAATTGTTGCAATGTGCTTCAGGGGCGAGGGAGTTAATTTTTTCAGGTTTTTATAATTTATGTGATAAAGTCTACTGGAAAGAAATAATTGTGATTTCGTTAGAATACGTTGAAGGTAACACAGTTAAGTTTTGCTATATTTGTTGTTTTTGCTTTTATTTGTAAGTTTTTTTAATTAAAAATTTGATAACATATTTTATTTGCGGGTGCAAATTTTGCTATCCCAATAGGGGAATTGAATTTTAACGTGTGTTATGTTTGTTTATTGTTTTTATTTTGAAGTTTTGTAATTGCACAAAGGCGATTTTCGCTTTGGAAGTTGACGTTGATTTGAGTCTGAACCACGACGATTGCCTCCTGAAAATTCGTAAAAATAATCTGAGCAAATCTGAGATCCAGTCATTTCAATGATGTATGTTGTAGTTGGCTGCAAAAATGTGTAACTTACAAGGACGCTACAGTGGCCTGAAAGATAGTAAAATACCGACCCTCACGATGCAACACACCCACAAGGTGTCACAATTTCACAAGGCGCTGAAGCAATCCAACGGACCGAAACTGAAAGAGCTCCAGGTATTCGATCTCATAGTGCGCATTTCAGTTTTAATCTCCACCTAGAGTTCCAAATTTTCACGGCCCGATTCGTTTCCAGAGTACAGTTTTCAACAAAGACTTCAACTTCATCCAGTTCCTGCAAGAGATAGCCACCGAGCAGCAGTTTGAAGTCACCTATGTGGATATCGAGGAAAAAGCTCTTTCGGGTAAAAGCCAGTGCTTGGTGCAGCTTTCCACGTTGCCGGTGGCCGTGTGTTACGGCGCGGGTGCCACCCCCAAAGAGGCCCAGTCGGCGGCGGCTCAGAATGCGTTGGAATATCTAAAAATCATGAGCAAGAAGTGAGGATAGAGGGCGCGCTGATCGTTTACACTTCAAACATCTGCAACTCGTTTTAATTTATTTGTCTGTACATTGATTAGGCTAATCCATGTTGAGATGTTTTTAAGTGTAGTCGAATCGATTCAAAGTGTATCAAGCGGCATGTGCTTTCCCTACATGCGTTATGCTTTTCTTCTCCGTCGACGCCGTTTTTAGCCGCGAAGTCGCAGGTTGGCGTCGTTTAATTTTAGGGACATCAGAGCTGGGCCACTGTTATTGGTTCGAATTTTTCGACGAAAGTTTGGCGCAATAGGAGTGGCCCCTGACGAGAAGGATCGCACCTAATTTTACAAGCTATACTTTGCATAGAATTAGTGGTTTTTTTCGAGACTATATTAATCTTCATTTGTCGTGTATTGATATGCAGATGCACTCAATCAAATACGCGAAAACGACCAGTAATAAGATTGCTGGGAAATGGTGTCTATTGTTAAGAGTAGTGTTTAGGTAGCTTTAGCATTACACTATATAGGCACTAGAGTTTAAACGAGTTTATGTAATGTTCATACTCTGGATGTATCATTGGGTGCCCCCATGCGATGTAAATGTACATACTTATATTGTGTAAAGGGAGCATTTATTTAATGCAAAGTATAGAGGTTGTACCCCTATTATTTTCCCCTAATTAACATATATGTCAATAGAAGCTATAATATTAAGATGGTTACATCTCGTCTAAACAATTACCCTTTACTTTTTTTTTATTATGTTAAGTACATCTTAAGTCATATTCATATTGATGTGTATGCTAATTGAATATAAATTATAGCTTATGACTAGTTTTTCTTCCCTTAGTAATTTATTTCACAACTTTATTAAATTCCAGAAATCGCTACTCAGATTAAAAAGTAGTTTTTAGTTACTTGTTACCTTTAGGTAAGGGGTGCTATGTTAAAAAAATGTAGCTGTATAATTTTAAGCGAAACACGCCGTATATGTTTGAATAATTTTACAGTGTAGTCCAGAATGAATTCTTTTAATGTCAAAGAATCTTTTCAATAATTCTTGGAAACGCGTAATCCTTCACCGCCAGACCGTTTGGACACTCTTTCATATAAAAATAAATATCCAGAAAATGATTTTTTTTTAACATCTCGTAATTAGTTATTTGTCCATAACGAGGAGGGAAAACCTGAAAATTATAGTAATGTCACACCGCAAATAATTTTAATTACAATATCAGCTCCTCGCCCAAAATAATAAAACCAATCAAATTTCATTTTCGTTTATGTCGCCGCTGATGCTTGTACGTGATTATAGTTGAATTCTTTCCAAGTATAATAGATATTTATTTTATTAGGAGTTTAAGTGATACTTTATGTGGCGAGTATGGACGATTAAACGCCGAGTGATAGCGAGGCGAATTAAGTCCATACGAGTCACATGAAGTCACTTAAACTCCGAATTAAATACAATATTTTATTTTCAAACGATTAATCTTCTTTTGAAATGATTATTTCCCATCTTCTTGCTTCATTAACGAATTGCCTTGATTTCACTTACCATGGTTACTATGGTTGACAACCACTATGATTTTCACATATTTATACTCCGGCGGATTATAAATGTTTTATTTATACGCCGGCGGAGTATAAGTTCTATTTATACGCCGCTCAAAAACGCTGTCATAGAAATGACACCGGTAAGAACGTCATATAAGTGTCAGTTATATGACGTTTGAAAATAAACACAAATACTCGGAAGTTAACCATGTAATTATTAGGAGTTCATTTTTCCCTTAGTTATACGGTTTAAATATATTTTTTATCGATCGCACTTGTGCGGACCACGGTACCTTGCAATTTGTGTCCTCGCGGCGCAGGGGCTGCGGGGCGGGGGATGTTATTTACTTTTACTTTACAGAAGTTATCAGAAAATAAAAATCATACTTAATAATTTTTAAAAGAGGCGGGATTTGTTTCAGGGGTGAGGTAAGTTCCGCCGAAATAAATTTCGACCAAATTTTTTTATACTCAGGGGCTATGATTATGAAACGTCGATAAAACATGAAAGTATCCACAAAAAGTATTATAATACTTTTTTTAACTTACGCTGAGAAAGTAAACATACAGCTTTGTTGCATAAGTTAAACGGAACAAGGTATATGTTTGAAAATAATTTTAAATTATAGCTGTATTAGATTGCCTTGAAGAATTTTTTCCACAGCCTACAGCGAATGTTTAATTTTCCGCCCTGTGACCGTTGGAATTATTTTAAGACGTATTTAAATCGCCTTTTTGAATGTGTTTTTGGCGAATTGTATGTAAAACTCGTAATTTCTTATTCATCTACATAGCACGAAAATTATGTTCTGCTAATGAATAATGTTGCAGTATTTTAATTAAGATTAATTTACTGTGTAATGCAGCGATGTAAAAAGAACTGCAAAAAATGTCTGATATGGTATCGACGAGAATTTTTGTTTTTTTTTTCGTGTTACGTAAAGAAGTTCAGGCGCAGGCGGTTTTAACTTTGTTGAGAGCGCGTGTGTGCGTTGTGTAAATTAGTTTAAGTGGTTTATTTTTGTTAAAAATAATTTGGTTTCGGGCTTAAAGTAAAAGGTGAGTGTTGTGTTATGCCTATGAGGAAGGAGTCTGCAAGAATCGGCGCAGAAGGAAAGGAAATCAGGACTTAAAGGGTAAGTGTTACTATTAGGCTTTATGAACTATTATTCACAGTATTGTGTTCTATTTTTCAGTTCTTTTATTGTAAATTGATATAAAAATACGGATGTTAAGGGACAAGTAGTTGTACTATACAAATATTTTGTGATAGCCCAAACATCCCGCCTTTAATTGACATGTGAAAAAAAATTGAAACCCCGCGAAAGATTCAAAAATTCAAAAATTTTGCAAAATAAAACACAAAATATATGGAGGACAGAAATATCCATCCACTGTCAAAAAGAAAAAAAAAAAAGCTGCGACTAAGTTGCGCAGGTTGAAAACCTTAGTGCTCAGCTACAAAAAGAACTTTCCAAACTTTGAATGGAATCAAATTAAACGTTCTGAATCAATGCAAATGTTTGAATATCACAAATTTAATAAAAAAAGCAAAATCTGAAGTAAAGTAACTGGATAGGATGCAAACCCACAAGATATTACGGACGTATCGGACGGCAAATTTAAATTGTGGCAGTCAACAAAAGAACATTTTAATTAAAAAACTAGCAGCGAGAGCGGCCACCAGAGTGCTATAAGAGTGTGGCGATGAACTATCTCAATTTCATTTTAGAACACAGCAGAATTACCCATTGTAGCACGATCGGAATTGCTATCTATCGCAAGCACTGCCGCACAGCACTTCTCCATACGAACATGACATGTTCGTATGGAGAAGCCGACAGCGTTACGTCATCCCGACCGCTCCTGACTTCTTTTCTAGGCCTGCATCCTTTGCGCAGATGGCGCGACAGCCAGCTCAATAAGGAACCGCGCACTCCGCTTCCACCACGTGTTTCTGCGTTATTTACCTCCATTCCATTTAAATGTTCAATTTCCATGATTCTGATATTAAACGACAACTGAACAAGTGTTAAAGTTAAAAAAAAAGCAATAAACAAAATTTAAATTCGCCATACATTTTTGTGAAATTTGAAAAAGCAAAGAATTTGTATCTGAGATTAAGATTGGACATTAGACAATTTATATGATGCAAACATTAATCAACAAAATATTTACATAAAAAAAAACTAGCAAAGATTAAAAAAAAAGACTTGTGCAGACAAAAGTTACGTGACGTTGAGAACAACACAGCATTAAAATTTACGTTCAATTTAAACTTGTTACTTAAAACCATTAGCTTTGAGAGTTTATATCGTGCACTGTCCCCAGCTTATCCCCCCCTAAAAAAAAAAAACACAAATAACACAAAATTGCGAGGTATGTGCGTCTCGGTTATATGTATAATTTTCAACGTTGCGAGAAAAAATGTCTCGGTGGTGTGATGATGGTAACGATGATATAGTTGTTATAATGTAACACTTACGTATAACCATCCAGAAACCTTATTCATAATTAGTTAAACAAAGGATGAGCCCTGACTAAGTGAATTTCATGAAATCTAGCAACTATTTTTATCCGAACAAACTTATGACTGTTAAATTGTGTTAGAACCAGTTAACGATTAAAAACCTAACATGAACTGTGAATTTGCAAACAATAAAACAAATTTATACTGTGTGGGCGTCGGTTGAAAATTCACTTATTTCCTTTTGGAAAAACCGCAAGAATTAGCTACACGTGTTGAAGAAACTGTGGCGTCGTCGTCGTTACCATTAATTTTTGTTAAACAAAGATTCCCCCTTTTTATTAATTACTAAACCAACTAAACTTAACCTAGTTTACTTACCATGTGGTTTCACACACGACAAACAAATCAAAAATAACTTGTCTCACCTCCCTCTACTAAGCGAGCATTTTTACCAACCCTGTAATTACTTAATTAATTATTAAATTACCTAGCATAACTACCCACTACCAGAAAAGAACTAAACGTGCACATGGTTGCCTATGTCTAACGATTTCCTTGATTGCATTTTTTTCAAATTCAAATTATTCAAATGCGATTTCGCGTTGTTAATTTTTTCAGCGCGAAATTTTAATTCAAATTCGGTCACCACACTTTACTTAACGACTTAATAAATATGTTTATTTCAACAAGAACTCAAACGTTAAAATCTCGTGAAATTATTTTATTTAAAACTGGCCTTTTCGACTGAAATAAGTTGGTATATCTAGTAATTTCTTATCAATGTTAATTATTATTTAAACATTAAATCCAACTTTGATTTTTGTATCATTTCGGACCGTCTTATTATTCACTGCAATTATAGTTATTGTGTTTTTAAATTTCATTTTTGTATTTTTGTATTTGGCACATACTTAACTGCAATTAAAAGAAGTTCATGAGATTCGCAAAACGTTTCAGACAATCATAAAGAAAGTGGTGTTCAATGTTTGAGTTTATTGTGAAGTGTTTATTAAAATTTCGGTTAAATTAACTTTAGAATGTTCTTAAATTCCAAATGTAGTGTAGCAGGGTTATTTTCTTTAAACTTTTATTTCTTGTTTTCTGGACATTCTCCAGTTTATGGGGTGAAAATATCGATTTTCCACTTCCGTCTATTTGTGAAGGCGAATGTTTATTAAACAAATATTTTCCGAAACCCTTTTTTTTGGTGTATTTTGAGTCTGTTATGTAGATTTTTTTTTTGTTCATCTTCACCAAGAATTGCGTCATGTAAATGTAAAATTTTGCTTAGAATTTATATTGTGATTTCAAAACTTTTTCTAATTAGTATTTTTTAAATCTTGTGTACGATTTTTATTAGACAGATAAGAAATTTTGTATTTATATTAGGTATATCATGTAGATGGTAAAACGCTACCCAAAATTTGTCTAATCATCCCCACCACTAATGTGATGACGTTACTTCAAAATTGTAGGTAGTAAATGGGTTTTAAATTGTATCAAATAACATACTCTTACACACGTAGTTTATGAATAACTCCGAATTGAGATTTTACCCGAAACGTTCAGATTTTTGGAAAAAAAATCAAAATTAGGAAACAACATTTTGACATTTAATTTGGAATCTGCTGAACCGAATGCTTTAAAATCTTGCAGATGTTTTAAGGTATAAAGAGCATAAAATATATTTACTTGTCCCGAATAAATCCTATCTTAAATGTGCAAAGTATGATGAGACAATACTTGTGATTTATCGTTCCATTAATATTTTTTGGATTTGCATATACAGGATGATTCAAAA